TAATTTTTTAAAATAAAAAGGTATAATAGTAAAAAAAAAATAAAGATTAAAGTGATTACTAAAAAATATATTCTTTTTATATATTAATATAAATTTAATTATTAAAAAAATTTAATTAAAATATAAAATAAAAAAATAATCTAATTATAATTATAATATAATAAAACAATAATTTCAAAATATTATACATTATTTTTATAAAAAAACAATATATTTTAATAAATACGGATACAATATACTTAATACACTAGGAGGACAAAAATGTGAACGAAAATAATACATCCCACAAGTATAAATACGATGACGGAAACAAATATCATGAAACGGATATGGAGCTTCCCATTCCCAATGCCAATTGCAATCGTACGTACGGATACAGTGTCCCATCAAATCAATTCTTTCCTTTCCAAATAATTAATTACTTCTATTCATTCATCAAATCACACACAAAAGAAAAAAAATCTTGGATCGGCCAGAAATTGATGGGAATAATGTGCACGAGATTTTAGCTTTTAACTGTTTGATTTTATTTTTTTTTATATGCGTTTAAATGTTTAATTTGTAATTTCTAGGATCGGTAAAAAAATAAATACAAAATTTTAATTTTAAGCGTTTAGTTTATATATATATAAAAGTTTAAATGTTGAATTTATTATTGTTATTGTAATTTTATATATATATAAAAAAACAAATCTAACAAAAATGGATTATCCTAGATTAAAATAAAGTAGTATTATAAATATTTTTAAGAGAAAAATATCATTACGGTGATTCGAATTTGTTGACATATATAATAATAATTACTTTAAAATTATACAAATAATAATTTATAATAATTTATTTATATTTTCTAATACAACAACAATACATGATCATTAAATATTATTTTTAAATGTATAAATTATATTTAAATTTATAATAAATAAATAAAGTTATAATATCTAGAGATTAATTTTAAGCATTAAGAATTAGGAGTATTCATTATTTAGTTTAAATTTGGGATAAACTAAAATCTAAATCAATAAATTTTGATTGGATTCATCAAAAGATATTTTATGATCTGAACAAAATTAAACTAATCGATTGGTTTGGCTCAATTTAATTAGTTTTCTTTAAAATAAATAGGTTGATGTCTATTTTTAAAAAAACAAAAATATATTATTTTATTTCAAAATTTAAATAAAAATTTATTGTTAAAATAATATAAAAAAATATTCAAGTGTAATGAAAAAAGTATAGGAAATATGAAATTAAAGTATTTAAACATAGCCTAATGTTTGAAATTAAATTATTTGAACATTTAAAATTACAATTATTATCCTAGTAGTCTTCATGTATTTTTTTTCAACTTGAATATCAATATGCAAATAATATATTAAGTGAAAATAAATGTTAGAATTTTATAATGTTAATTCAATGACTAGACTAAGACAAAGTGAACAACAAACTAGCTAAAAAGTGACAAAATCAAATGGTCGGAGGACATGTAACGTGCGTCTCAATATGAATCATATGGTAACTAGTATGTGAATATAAAGAACTAATAAAATAATAATATTATAAAATATATTAATATTATTAAATAATAATCTCATAAAAGAACTGGACTAGATTGTATTTTTGGTCATTTTATTTTTGTCAATTAATAATTTTAGTCCCCCTAATTTAAAAAATGTAAATTTATTATTATTATTTTTTTATCAAATTAACATCTATTAATCATTAATGGGAGTGTATTGGTTTAGGATTTCATAGAATTTTTAAAGATATCTTTTTTTAGTAAAAAAGTTTGTTAGTATTCAATCAGGAGTTTATGTCACTTAAAAACAATCCAGTAGTATTCAATATGAATTTTCAAGATTTTTTAAAGAGTCCATTAAAATACATTGGTATTCATTTGAAACTTCTTACAACTTAAAACAATCCATTAGTATTCAAAAATATAGGGATTTTAAAGGATTGTTGTATTAGAGGGATTTTGAAGGATTTTTTAGTAGTATTTATGAATACCAAATTCATAAAACAATCACACCCAAATACATCAGATTTTGGAGAATTGTTTGAAGTGACTTTTTAAGTGTTTCAAGAATTTTCAAGTGAGTTTTTTATCTCTTTTTTTTTTTTTTCTATGTTCATGTCTTTTCCATTTTTTTTCTCATGCTAATAATACTACACTATTGCTATATTTTTCTCTTTTCTACGTAAATGATAGTGTCATTGACTTGCTTTCTATTTTTCTCTTCATTCTCTTTAATTGACTTGCTCTATTTTGCTATATTTAGTTGAGATTGTTCCTCGGTTATATAACACAAAAAATACTTGAAATTTCAATTGTAGTAATTTTTTAAAAAACGTGTCAAGAAAAGGGAAAGGTGAAAGCTAAAATTGATATCATGATCTCTATAATCAACTGTAGATCTTTAAGACCTTGTAATCAATTTAGATTTATTAGAACAAAAGTAATATATATATATATATATATATATATATATATATATATTTTTTTTTTTTATATATATATATATATATGTATGTATGTATATAAAAAATGAAGTTGAGTTAGAGTTTCTGTGAGTAGAATGAGATAAAAATGACTTAGTTGGGGAAAGAACCCTCTCAATATAAAATTGTAATTTCTCTCCCTCTCTTGAATTTGTTACTGTTATCCTTTCCCTTTTGTAACTTAACAATTATTTTACTTTTTTTGTTTTACTATGAATTTTATTTTTTTAATTTTTATATTGTGAAATTAGAATCGGCCAAAAATAGATGAAAATAATGTGTACAAGATTTTAGCTTTTAACTGTTTGATTTTATTTTTTTTTATATGTGTTTAAATGTTTAATTTGTAATTTCTAGGATCGGTAAAAAAATAAATACAAAATTTTAACTTTAAGCGTTTAG